ACCGAACTGGGTAAGGATCCTGAGTTTGGAAAACATTTATGAGTATTTAAAGGATCCTGAAAATTTTAGCCACCAAGATATTGTGGCGATAAGAAATAGGGCGGCCCATTACGAACTAATAGATGGTCTATTATTTTATACAAAAACTACGAATTCCAACAACGAATTTCGACCTGTTATCCCAGCTAGTCTTAGATTAAATATCCTGCAGGAGTTACCATGACAGCCCTTTAGCTTCTCATGCTGGTATTCGAAAAACTATCCAACGCGTACGCGAGGCAGTCTATTTTCCTGAACTGCAAAAGTTAACAAGGGCGTATGTCCAGTCCTGCCCAACATGTCAAGCAGTTAATTATATTAATTTCCGCCCGGCCGGGTTTCTAAATAGTATTAAATCCGAATTTCCAAATGAAATAATGGCATCGATTTATTGGGCCCTTTCCCAAAAAGTCAGTTAAATAAAAGTCGCTATCTCCTTGTTATGGTTGATCATTTTAGTAAGTGGACCGAAATTGTTCCCTTAAAACGAGCCTCCGCGAAATTAGTTACTGATTCTATTTTAAATAAATATATTTTAAAATACGGGGCGCCCCTAAAAGTTATATCGGATAATGGTCCTCAATTTGTAAGTAATATATTTGAAGACATGTGCCAAAAAACTGGGCATACGTCATTTAAAAATGGTCCCGTATCGGCCGCAATCAAATATAGCGGAACGGGTCAATAGAAATATAGTGAAAATTATCCGTAGTTATGTTAAAAATTTTCATAAAAGCTGGGATAACTATGTCAATGAATTTGCTTTCGCCCTTAGGACCGCAAAACATGATACAACGGGCAAAAACTCCTGCTGAGTTATTTTTAGGCAGAAAGATTATAACGCCGTTAGAAATTATTTAAAATAATTAATTTATTATTAAATTAATGTTCAACAAAGAGCCCCAGAATTTAAAATGGTGATATAGAAAAATTAATTAAAGAAGCAAAAAAGAACACTGAAGTAGCACAAAGAAAACAGAAGCTCTATTATGATTTGAAACGACGGGGAGTAACTTATAAAGTAGGAGATGAAGTATTAAAAATTAAGCATTCACTTTCTTCAGCACCAGAAGATAAAACCGCCAAATTTTTTTCACGATTTGAAGGACCATATGTCATAGAAAAAATAACTCACGCTGTAGTGGTGTTAAAAGCCAGGAATGGTGAAACATGCTCCGCAAACATTGATCAAATAAAACCATACTATGACCGTAATAAAATGCAAATATTTAAAGATCTTTTGCAGGATCCGGCACGGCAGGCACAAGCTCCAGACGTGGAACAACGACAAGCACAAGGGCAAGCCATTAGGAGGCAGGAGCAATTGAAAAGAAAGTTTCCCCGTTGGAAAAATTGAAGGTAACAAGAAAAAGAAGCCGTTCCAACCGACCAGAAAAAGAGAGCGCACGACCACCCACAGAATGAAGAAGGGAGAAGTACGACGAATGCAAAGAGAGCCAGGAGAATAACGGCAACTATAACCCGGCTCCCAAACGGAAGATCTACTCATCGGACAGGACTCTACGCAGCAATGTCGCCGAATTGCGGAAAGAACCACCAGCGGCGGATGAAAAGATACAAGGAAAATTGAACGGCCAGCAAACGAGATCCAAGCAGGAACGAGAGAGAAGTGTCCCGGTTCCGCCAAGACCAGCGGCCATCAAACGGCCAAGACCACAGGCAGAGGCGAAAAAGAAGGTATTCAAGGGTGACCGAGCTGGAGGGAAAAGAAAGCTCCTAGAGGAAGGAGCTGAAGGGCGAGCCCGCACAAGAAGGAAGATAAATCAAACACGAATCTTCGCTACCTTCCAGGACTGGGCAGAAAAAAGAATGTCCGAATATCACAAAGATAAGTAAAACTTTATGTTACTTTGCAAACTTAAGTTAATCTTTCATTCTTACTGTAAATGGCAGATTTCAAGACGTTTTACCTCATGTAAGGTCTACCTTTATCGCCAAAAAGGCGAGAAATGAGTTGTTACCTATTTTGGTATTATGTTTTTCAATTACTCGCGCTTAAGGTGTTGGTGTGTATTTAATTATGGCAAAGCACACGAGGGCTATCTGCCTAAAGGGAGGGATGCCTTTCGTGGAGGACTTTCTAAGGGAAACTGGCTCGTATACACGTTACACATGGGGAAAACCACGAAAACGCCCATGCAGCCAGCCCGTTCGCGGGATTCGAACCTCAGACCGAACTACCAGTGTTCAGCGTCTTTACCGCTCGGCCGCTGGTGGGCCACTCGCGCTTAAAACTAAAGTTGATGTATAATAGGAATGTGTAAATACTTGAATATTGTAAAAGTTATTATATAAAATTTTATTTAAGAGATTCTGGCAAGAAAGAAGTTTTAGTCTGAAAGACTTTTGAAATGTAGTATTTCAATGTAGAAAATTGGCTTGCTTGGAAAAGAATAGAAGTTAGCAATGTACTACTAATGTATGTTTAAATTGCGTAAATTAACGGCATTTTAATGTCCTTATATACAATGTGAACGTTATTTTAAAATGTTAGAAATACTGTGATATGGTAAAAGTGAAAGTAATGCCAAAAATTTTAAACTTATTCGTTGACTGTAAAAAAGACCAAATTATTGTGAATATGTGTTAAAGGTTGAATGAATGTAGTTAGGCTCTCTGACGCTACACTTCGATTTAGCCACTTCAGAAAAGTACATCAGGGTTTAGATATGAAGATAAGGTGTGTTATGAGGTCTTGTTATTGTTGAATTTAACACGTTAGTGTTTTGATTGCAGGCGGTAGTGTTGAACACTTATACATAAACATTCGTGTTCGGTGTTTTTTTACAACACATGTCAGAGAGCACGGGGAGAGATAATTAAATAAAGTCATGAATGAAATAAGAATGTTAGGAGAAATATAAATATTCATGTTACTTGCCATTTAATTGTGTAACATTTCATTAAACTAGTTTTCCTTCCAGAGATCTGGAAGGAACCGATTTAAACTAAAAGGAAGGAAGCTCAGATGATAATATAGGAGTAATGTAAAACAATTTTTGTTTTTTTTAAATTTCTCTAATGTGTTTTGTTTGTAAAGATAGTTCGTGCGAGAAGATAGTTCGCGGTTCAGTTTCTCTAATTTTCAAGGTAAGATGTAGCGGGAAGTAGAAGGAATTTAAGTTGAATTTCTAAGTTATTTACGTCTTTTTTTTTTAAATTTTAAATATTTTGCTTTAACTTATTTAATGCAATGAAAACTTAAGTATGGTTTAAAGTTGGGTCCATGAGCTGATAATGTAAAAACAATTTTTTTTTTTTTTTTTAAATTTCTAGTTTCGTGAAAAATGTGTGTAAAAGATAGGCCTCGCGTTAGATTCTAGAGCTAAACGTTTTTAAACAAGGTCGTTTTTAGACCTCAGTTTCAAACTAATTAACTCTGCGGGAAGTAGTAAGATCTTAGTTTTCTAACGTTTATTTTTTTTTAAATCTTTACTATCACTTCTATTTCCTACTTCCGGCCAAATTTAAAAGCTTTACTTATTATGCAAATTGTCTGGCGAATGCCAGTCTAAGTTGTGGCTTTTGCCAAGCGAGAGAGAGGGAAGAGTTAGCGAAGCGGCCGCTTGCCTTAGCAGTTTTACTTGCTGGTTGCCTTCAGGCCAGAGGTTAATCCTCTAATAATTTTTAAACGTATTGTAGTGTTAACAGTTCTCTGTACTACATACGGCTTCCTGTTAATATACGGCCAATCTTCCACGTAGGCCCTTGTTTATTATTCAAAATTTAAGTTAGAGTTTAGTTAATATTTTTATATTCTTACGTTCAGACCACAAGTGGTTGGTCTCTGTATTCCCGGAATCATTGTCCGGAAATCATTGTAAAGAGTGAAAAATAAAGGGTTTCGTATACCCTTCCTGTGTATCTTGTCTACTTCCCACATTTTTTGAACATAGCTTTAGTAAGCTCCCTGTTCCGAGTCAGGTTCTTGAATGTTCCCAAAGCAAGTAAGGCGGAACATAGAACCTGATAAGATTACGTTTGGAAACTTACAAAATTATTTTTCTCTTTGTCGTTCCTAAACGCGGATACTAAAGCAGCGGATTCGGCGGCATGTGCATTTTTATCGGACTCCGTATATTTTTTTTTTTTCCCAGCCGTGGATTGACTACTCGTTAGATCAAAATGTAAACATATATCTTGACTATGCTATAGATGTGGCGTTTTATTGCATAGGTTTTGTACTCAGATATTTTATATATTTTTGAAGGCGAGCAAAGAGAACATGCTTAGCGTGTTATTAGCGATTGACTAGCATAGGCAGGCAGAGACATGGAGGTCCTTATTTACAGTTCATAAACTAATTGACATATTAGTAATATTATTTTTTTCAATTCTTCAAGGTTTTTGTTTCCTTTATAAAATTCCTTTTTTCTTTTAGGGAGAGTAAAAAAAAAACTGAACATTCGAATCATAAAATGCAAGTTTCATATTCAACTTTGTAAGCTGTTTGTTATTTGAAATCGTGGTGAATATTAGAAAGGCAACTCGACCTCGACCTCTTTTACAAATGTAAAAATATATTTAAGAAAGTAGCGAATTTTCCCCAGAAACTAAAGCTGAAAACACTGGCTCTTGCATATCTAGTAAGTGTGTGGTGTGGTGTATTTAATTATAGCAAAGCACACTAGGGCTATCTGCCTAAGGGGAGGGATGCCTTGGTGGAGGACTTTCTAAGGGAAACTGGCTCGTATACACGTTACACATGGGGAAAACCATGAAAACACCCATGCAGCCAGCCCGTTCGCGGGATTTGAACCTCGAACCGAACTACCAGTATCTAGTAACTGTGTAGAAAGTAACAACTAGTAACTACTAACTATATTACGCAACTATAGTAATAACTAACTATATTAACTAACATATAGTAACTACTAATTATTTTACTCAACAATGTATATAAACATTATTAAATTCAGAATGAATTCAGTGAATCTTACCTCGTGCACCTATAGTAATCAGCATAACCTGTGAATTTGCAAATCAGTGAATCATCTCCAGAAATTGCTACTCGGAAGTCTTGCGTTGAATCTGAAACAAAAGAATATTTAATATAGCATTATGTTAAATTAATGTATGTAAATGTATTTTTCATGCCCCCCCCCTAAAAAAAACTCGCGAAACTAAATTTTTCCAATTAATTCTAGGAAAGCTGTGAAGCGATGGAATAATTACTAATATATCTCAGTTTGCTTTCTTTAAACTATGCTTACCAGGAGAAGCTTATGAAGAATTTTTTTTATTCTATTCCTCTAACGTTTATTGTTAGGCAATAAAACTGAACAACGAGAAGCGGTAAAATTTCGTTCGTACAGATCAACTCCCTTCGAACGGCTTCTGGCGAAGAGATTTCAGGCTTCAAGGACATTATTTGGAGAGTATTTCAACAATTCAGAAAAACTTAATGAGCAAATTAAAAAAATGTTCTAACAGTTTACTTTTAGGATGTCATTCAAAAGGAACTTTAATTATGTAATCCTACGTATACATAGTAAGAGATGTAAAACATTAGATGCGGTATATATAAGAAAGGCAATATGTATAAGAATAAACTTCCATCATTTTTCTTTTTCTATGAATTTTAACTTTTAAAGAATTCTGCCCCTTGCAAATACAGATTTGAAACACTGGATAAAATAAATTAGTCTCATTAAAGTGTTTTTCCTATCACATTGAGATTGAAACCGCATTACATTAGCAACTTCTCATTGAAAAAAAAGATACTAATTGAACATAAACTATAAAAGAGTAAATATTCGAATATATTTTTATCGCATAAAAGTGCTAGATTTTTGTATTTATAACTTCCTTGGTTGTTCTCTAAATTTGAATAATTTTCTAATATAAAAGGGAGAACTTTTATATAATTATCCACTTATTCTGCAGTACGAACTCGTACTGCAATATATATTTAACCTGAACCCTTTGAACATTGACGTTAAAAATAAACGTTTAAGAGGGTTTTTTTGTGTTTTGTTTTGTTTCTTTTTTTTTTTTAATACTACAGTGTTGCCATCGCACGAGACATAGCATCTTTATTTTCTATGTGATGTGGTAGAACATCAGTTTTTAAAATGTTGCTCTTCAGCAAGACAGACGATGATTACTTTATCTTACAACTTTGAAAGATATTGCTTGATATACATTATACTACGTGATTTAAAAAAAGATGCGTACTTCTTAATAATTTTAACTTTTATTTTCCCGTTATATATCTAATTGATGTAATTTAGAATATTTTAAATTTTTAATATAAAAAAATCTGATAAATTGTTGAGATTTTGCATCAATATTTTAATTAACATGAGAGGTATATAATGCCCTGTGAGTGAGTATGTTTAATGCAAAACTATTTAAGAAATAAGCGCAGAGATATTATATTTTTATTGAAGCAGGAATAGTATTATATTCCTATAATATATGCACTTGTCGGGATTCGATCCACCCATCTTCTGATTACTAGCCAGACGTACCACCGATTACACCTCGAAGGCACACATGGGGCAAGACAAGAATTTCTCATGCAACAACATTTTGCTTCATATTGAAAAAATGTTTACTTTTAATTTCAAAATATAGCATCTAAAAATCAAGGCTTTATCGAAAATTTTAAATAATTAATGTAGATAAAGCTTCCGCTATAAACTATTATTTCTTTCACAGAAAAACTGCGTATTGATAAAAAAAAAGTGTCCCAAATTCAATAAATCACCGTATTCTAAAGTTAAATTTTGCTTTGACTTTAATAGCTAGTTAATAAATAAATAAATTAAATTAATGGCTTCAAATCAAAGCTGTTTCTTAAATTTTTGTTGATATACAAAATGAAAATGAGCCACGAAGAGATAAGAATTATAACTTATATGGTGAGTGATCTTAAGCACAAACTTTCATTTTGTTGTCAATTGCTGTCATTTTTGTTTCTGTAAATGGTAAACATTTGCATAGAAAGTTTAATATTTTTAATCGTCAATACTTTTAAATAAATTCGTTGCTATCTAATTTTCCTTCTGATCAGAAATGCCTGGAATAGTTTCTGGAAAGACTTTAATCTGACCATGAGTGAAATAATATGGGACTTAGAACTACCTAGAACTCTATAGAAGAAAATTTTGTTAAATACGGAATTCGCGAACGATTTGTAATTAAAGTTTATCACCTGAACGGAAGGCGATAAAAATTGTGAGGGAATGAGTTAAAAAATAATCGAAGAAACTAACTTTTGACTTTGATCAACGGATATACTTCTGTTGCGAGAAAAAAAAATATTATTTTGCTTAACGCATATTGGAAAGGAGTTAACGAAGAACGAAAAGAAATAAAATCTCTTATTGTGTTGGAAATAAAGATTCGAACAAATTTAATTCTTATTAGAATTTTCTTATTAAAAAATATAATTTCTTAATGCAGTGGTCCACAGTATTTCAGTACTTTTGCGAGATATATTTTCTGCAAGAATTTTGAGAAAATATTGGTCTTTTTATCACCCTACATTATAACTTAGTATAACTAAGTAAGTAAATGATGATTTGCATAATCTTTTCATGCAGCTGTAACAAATCATATTTCGTTATTTAAAAACCACGTCTTTAATGACATTTTAAGTATTATTGTATTATAATTTAATTTCAGCATTATTTCTTATAATTGATACATATTCCCACCATGTGAAAGATTATTCTTCGCAAAATAATGTTTTAATGAATAAAACTATCAGTGTTCTTTTGAAATAAACTGTGTTAGCAAAGAAAGTAGGAAGGATTAAATAGGAGGAAGGCGAGAGGGGGATAGAAAACGGAATCGAAAGCAAAGGATATAAAACTATATTAAAACTTTAGAAACGATGGATTTTAATAAATCAGTTATATTTTAGGCGTTATTTTAAGCTTGTTTAATCATCATTATTATAAAAAAAAGTTAAAATTCTGAAATCTTGTAATTATTAAAATATTAAAATATTAAAGCGAAATGTAAAAAAATTAGTTTGTCAAGCTGCATGAAAATGTACTATGATGAATGCTCATTTTTTAGAAAAAAATCCTTTCGTCTTTCATGTGCGTTTAATTTTAGGTTTTTCTTGCAGTTTTTTGTTTCAAAAAAGTGAAATTTTAGGCAATTGTTTGTTAATATTTATCTATGCAATGTAGCTAACGATTATACTTTATTCTTATAATACTGACTTTATTGATTAATTAAAGACGGAGATAGTCGTTAAGAAATTTCATGATATTAATTTTTTCAAGATTAACATTCTATACTTTGCTGTGTATCAGCTTTTCTAAAAAGAGATTCACATTTTGCCTTTAAACATCGTTTTAAATGTTCGTAAAATGTATCAAAATATTACAAAGAATTTTTTTTCTTGGTTACTAATTTTCTTTCTTTGCAAAATATGTTTAAAGCACTTATAAATCGTATCATGTCTATAGTGCGTGCCAGTGTTTCAACATTTCGAAATAAACTTTCCGAACGTGTTTAATTGATTTCAGGTTGCAGGTTTGTTTCCTGTAAAACAGAAAATATTGCATTTGAATGATTCCAAATCTTGTCCGCAGGAGACGTAAAAAAACAAGTACACAAAAAAAAGGGAGTAAGTCTAGTTAGTATGATTTATATGATCCACAAATTTTTAGTTGTGTTTGCCTTTTTGCAAAATTCATTTTAAGTATGGGATTTTATGTTACGTATCGTTAATTTTTACAGAACAACTTATTTTAAACTAATAGACTTATCGAAACTGCTATTTAAAAGTGTTTTTTGTTTTAAATTCAAACTTACATGCCGTAATTTTTTAATGATTAATGTTGAACTGATTGTATTATTATTTATTTACTAGCAAGAAGCAAGAGAATATTGTTTGAGTGTATATTTATTTTATTTATTATATACTCGATTGAACACGGAATATTGTTTAATATCTTTTTGATACCTTTAAAATTTGTTTAGCTTGCATGTTATTTTGTAAGTTTAGTAACTAATTTGATTATTTAAAAAAAAAATAGAATTATGATTTTTTTTCTTGCAGTCACACGTTTTAATCTTAATGATAAAAGATTTTAAATCTTCAGATTTTAATCTGAAACTTGTAAAACCAGCTTGGGCATTTCCTCTTTTGTGTAAATTCCTATTCATTTCTTAAAATTATTCGAGCATCGATAAACAGAGACTTTTTTATCACTGGTGTGAATAAGATAAAGTAGATTAATGAAACATCAGAAACTTAATGAATACCTGCCATTAATTATTCCAGTTATGTTAAATTAATGTTATTAGTACTTCTTGTAGGCGAAGTTTGTTCACGGAATTCTTTTCGGAAGTTAAGCAAACTTTGAAGCGTGTTAATACTTGGATATGAGATACCAAAGAAAAAGAATTACTTAAATAATTGTTTCCGATATAGCTAGATAAAAATTTCGTAAGTGGCATGCTGAGAATAAGGAGAGGGAAATGCTTAAAATATAAATTGTTTCTTTAAGTGCAAAGAAAGACGACCAAATTTGTAAGATTAAAAAGAATTAAAGAATCATTATTTGCTTCATCAATGTTTGCTTCATAAGTTTATAAAACCATAAAGAAATATTTTAAACAATATTTAGATTTTGTAAGATTTATATGCTGCTTTGTGATTTGTAATGCCTTCCAAATATTATCTGATATATGATTAAGCTGCTTTAATATTAAGTTTCTATTCAAGAATGTCTGAACATAAAGAAAGGAATGATCGAAAATTTGCTCAGTTTAATCAAATTGCTTATAAATTGAATTTACCCTTATAATTTATATTATGTGTTAATAATTCTAAGTACTTTATAAATACAAAAAATAAACGTTAATTTATGCGATAATGATTAAAAAAGTAAGCTCATTAATAGAATATATACAAATAATACTAAAAATACTGCAAGAGTTTTAACATAGTATCACCTGTTAAATGTTTGAATTACGAAAGATTAAATCTTTTCTGATTGACCGCACAGCAACTGAACACTACATTTATTTCATTGCCTGTACTAAGCTCTTTACGAGAGAGTGACTCCTCGAGAGATCCATTCGTAAACCTAGTGTAGATAGACAAAGACGTTTAAAAATACTGCTTCTTTTATTCAGCTGTAAATGACCGCTGATTTCATTTTCACTTCTCTCTGTATATCCTCCGAATTAGATGGCCATCTTGTCTGTTGTTTGCTGATGTCGTATTTCTCAACACGTTGATGATACCTTAAGCTGAATAGCATAGCACACCTAAAATACAATAACCTACTTGTTTATAATTTTTATTTTGTTAGCGCTGTTGCACATTTTAACTCATCTTTAAGTATTTCTAGTACTGTAATTTCTTTTCTTCAGTTAAAAAATCTCATTTTACAAAAATCACCGTATTGTGAAGGAATTTATTAAACTTTAATTCTGGATCATTTTTGTAATCTACTTTTATCTGGCTTTGTAATTTCACTTATGTTTGTGTATTATTTTATGTGATGCTCTTATAAATCAAATACGTCTAATCGAATTCAAAATGTAGTGATCCCTCTGAGACGACTATCTCCTGTAGATAAACATCTTTCAAAGTGAAAGTATTTCTCAAAATGTAAACAAAATAATACTCAACATCCTCTCTGTAACCCACATACGAAAACGAATAAAATCATTTGGAAGCATGATCAACAGTCTTGAGTTTCGTTGTTTGTAAATACAAAGCTACCGAGAGAGCTAAATGCTATATTCATTCGAATTTGTGCATCTTACAGAAGATAAAAGGAATCACCGTATGTGCATTACATGTCTGTAATGTACATGATGCTTCTCGCTTTAAAAATAATAGCATTTAAAAATGTATCCTTCTAGTGAAAACTTAACAATTTCATAATCATAAAACAGTATCAAGATTTGCCCTCCATTGTTATTGCTTAACGGCCTTAAGTCATTCTGCATCTGTTTTGTTTATCTCATTTGAGGATAATGACTAGAGTTAATTTTGACAGACTTAGCTTACTATCTTTAAATACTTGGAGCTGAGAGAAATAAAAATATTAATGTCGCTGTAAGATTATAAAAGCCTTTATTGTCTCAGTTACTATCGTCTTTTACTTACGATGATTCCTAAACCACAGAGACTCAAACAGATTTTCAGAAAGATTTCTTTGCCCTTAAAATTTTAATTAATAATACTCGTTCTGTTTTGACATAAGTAAGAATAGGATTTGTAAATTATGTTGCTCATTTCAGCAAGAGAAGTAAAATCTAGCATGAAACATACAAAGTTGCTATAAGCAATATGGAATTTTAAAGTATTTCAAATTGGTCACTCTATATTGCCATGACGATAATGCGCGTTCATTGTCAAAAGAATCAGTATGACTACTAGCGTGACAGATTCATTCTTCTAGTACCTTAATACTAAGGATCTTTTATGTGTGAATAGAAAATTTTAAGTGACTGGACATTTAAAAGCGAAGTGGTATCAGATCCAAACTCTGCTGAAGCTATTCAATACTCCTTCGGTTTTCTTTCAAGCTTACTGGAGTCCTTAATATGTTCAGTCAGTACGCTGGATATAATGGATCCGTGATGAACCCATGAGACAAACTGTCTCTACCAAATCTTTGCCTGCTCTCGCGAATGAAAGCAGCTGCTGAAGCTTCTGTTGCAAAGAAGAGATAGTTATTTAAAACAGAAATGGTCTTTAACATTAAATGCAAATAACTTGCAGTTTAACTTAATTTTGACCAAGGTAAGTTAAAGTTGAAGCATGAATTACTGAGATGAGGAGAATGTGGATGACTCACCAGCAAGAGGAGGAATGACGCTTCTTCTTCCATAGCGACCGTTGGGGTAAAACTGTTGAGCCCGCGTTTCGCATAGCAGGGAACAGCATAGGATGGCCAATACGATGAAGACCAAGCTCCTCGAAGAACAGAGGTTAAGTGCTCCGGCCATTATTCTAAATGAAAGAAACGTACACAAACATTCAACAATAAGCTTTAATCTTATATAAACAATGCAAAAGTATTCTTGTTCAAATACTTACTTATTATACTATTTAACATAGTATAATAAGTAAGTATTTTACTGTGTTAATAAATAAGTACACTAACATAGTATAATAAGTAAGTACAATAAGGTTGCCCGAACAATTCGCAATAATATTTCTCATAAGATAGTAAAATTAGACTCATGTTTTATTATCATTATTTGGATATAACAAAGTACTATTGGAGCCACTGACAGTCGACAGTGTCTACAGTGAATTTAGGATTTATGGGTATGAAAACTCAACTGTATCTCGCGGATGTTCAAACCACGGATCTTCCACTTGCTACTGGATAAGTCACTTACATTACAAAAGCTCTCAAAAAGACATGAGATAATGCCTCATATTCTTCCTAACTTCAAGAATAATTGGCATGAGTCGCGAGACCCAGTCGTCAAAATCCAAATGCTGATGCTGGTGCTGAAAGTTTAGTTTATATGATTATGGTGTAGGGTTTTAATGGGGATTATGATGTAGGGTTTACTTTAATTTTCTAACAGTTATTTTTATTTTGGAACAGGCCTTCTAGTTTCTTACCTAGGTTATCTTGTTAGAATGAGTTTTCAGGATCACAATTTATGCTAGTAAGGTAGAAACGAGTATATAAAGCTGAGGTTTGAGTTACTTCAGTAGGAAAGTGTGTTTGGCCTTTCGGCCTCGTTGTTGCTATTAGCCTTAAGGTTGCTTTTCCACGACCGTACCTACTGTGTGCTTACTAGTATACGGCGGTGATCCTTTAATAAGGGTCCACTACGCGAGTTGATTCTGTACAGCTTCGGCTGATTAATTCCGTTTAATATTAGTTTTACATTTTCTATTTAAAGTCCATGTAGAGGCTTCCTCTACGCCCTAGAGGCTCCATCTGTTAATTCATTTTGAGTTAGAATAAAAGACTATTTTAACCCTTCTTTGGACTTGTTACTTGCTTACAAAACTTAGCCAATACTCGCTACATAGTTCTTCAGTATTCTAGCTTCCAAGCAACTCTATTTTAGCTAGGATATGACAATTACAAAGCACTCGAGGGTACCTACTTATGAGAAGGCATGCATTCGTCGAGGACTTTCTAAAGGAAACTGGCTCGTATATACGTTACACTTAGATAAAGAAAACGCCATGCAACTAGCCTGCTCGTAGAAGACTCGAACCCCTCACCGAACTAACAGTGTTCAGCGACTTTACCGCTCGGGCTGACGGGCCTTCTGCTGGTGAAATACTGGCGCGGAAAATGGGTAAAATCACTATTGCATTCTCAAGAATTCGAACCTCAGATTTTTCAGTTGTTATTTTCGGATCTGCTAACCACTTACACGCAAAATCGCGCACGGAGGATATGAAGCAAGCTTATCCATTAAACAGATTTGTGGTCACAAGAGATCTGGTGTTTGAGATTGAGAAGAATGAATTTCTGAGAAGAAATGAATTTATTAGTTAGTATAAATAGACATTTTTAAAATTAATTATTAACAACAAAAATCCAGTTTTAAGTATCTCTATCAAGAGATAGCCCTAAGCTATGTCATTTCTTAAGAGAAAAAGGTCAAATGAAGTCAAGTATAGACAAAATGTTTCATATCTGCGTCATAAATTCACGAAAAGTAATCAAAAATTAAGGATTCAAAAACCATTGTTTAGGATACAATAGAAAGTTTCTACGAAGCGGTATGTTATTACTTCACTCTAGTGCAAATCAGACTTTTCTTTTTCTCCCCCCTCTTTTTTGAGTCACGTAAACAGAGTTATTTTCCTAAGTTACCGAGCTATATAATATAACATTTATCTTTATTAAAATTGGTATATTTTTATGATGTATGGTAAAGAAAGGAGCAGAAATTTCACAAAATCAATGACGTTCAGTATTGTTAAAAATTGTCTATTTGCAGTGATTGCGTTAATAAGAATATTTAATTTGCCTTTTCCTAGTTATGTTTGGGTTGTTATTATCAGCAAAGTATGATATTTTAGGCCTATTGTTTCGCATTATCTGGGCCTTTTTTTTTATCATTTTGATGTAATATCTGTAATCCGTGATATCCTTATCTTATAACTTACCTTCTCTCAGCAAAGTGCCTATCATTTCGCTGAAACAGGAAAATTATTTTTTCTGAATAATAAAAGTGTAATCCAGGAAACGCTTTCTGTCATATATTGCAATGAATTGTTAAATAATTTATAGTATTTTTAATCCTGGATGGTTTCAATAATATGCACATTTTGAACGCATAATTTCGATACACTTTATTTTATTACATTAAAATTTTTCGAATATTTTAATGCTAGAAACATTTTTATCCTTATCTTTCAAAATCTTCCGGCATATTATGTTCATTTATATAACATTATGCAACCTTGCTATTTATTTTGCCGTTTAGTTTCCTTTTTTTGCGATGTAGTAAACAGAAGATCTTCAATTTGCCTTGCTCAACTAACTGCATGTTTAGTCTACAAAGTATTACGTGTTACTTTGTTTAGAAATGTCAAGTTAAGAAACTGAAAGCAAAATAATTCGAGCAATGGCGACATTGTACGGAAAGAAAACATTTTTATCTCCAGCGCGCGAGACTGTGTATCGGAAATTCTAAAAATATGCTCATTTGAAAATTATTTTGCGGTATGGTTGTTGAATTGAAGTTTATGGTTTAAGTGCGAAGAACGTGATATTTATAATAAATAAAAGTAACACACAAAAAGATAAGAAAACGCTCTTTTGGGCGTAATGTAAAATCTGAAAGCTTTCAGATTTTGTTCTTATTTTGTCATGTTCTTCAGCAACATACTTTTATAATATGGAAGGTAAATAAAAGATAGAAGACCACATTGACAGCAATATTTTGCATTGAGGGTATTTGTTTCGGTAAGGCAAAAATCTCTCAACGGAAACAACATTTTTTCCAAGTTGCCAGTAACATTCGGTAATTTCTTTTCAAACCTCACAGCAACCATCTTAGGTTGTGCAACTTTCTGTAGATTTTCAAATAATTATGAATAATCAGAGATCAATCTCTGTCTCTGTTATACATGAATTATTTGAAAAGGTAACAATTAAAATTCTCATATTCTATTTTTATTTAGCACGTTTTACTTTTAAAAATATTTAGATTTTAAATTACGTTTAAAACAGATAAAAGGTTCTTTCGAAATACTATAATAATGAATTATTAACGTTCTTCAAAAAATCACAATATTTCACAGAATATTTCGTCAAAGTTTAAAAGGACTTTTTTTAATGTTCATTACTTTGTATTCTGATTATCCGTTAATTGTGCTTTAACGTAGATAAACTATAATTATATGTGCTTAATGTCACATGCATAATTCTAAATGGTCTTAACAGGATTTCTATAATAATTTTCCCAAGTAAATGACTGAAATCATGCTATAAAGGCTGATAATCAATGCAGAAAACACAAATCCATTTCAGCTGTAGTCTAAAATATAATGCGACCATTCTCAGTTAGAGAACGCTAACGAACAACGTAAATATTAATAATTCGAAAGCAAACGAAGTGAGGGGAGCCAACACATCAAAAGTTGAGTCAGATGCACAATTAATATGAAAAGCAAATATGATTTCTTATTTGTTTATGGGCCTAACATTTTGACAGGAATTTGAAGATGACGACGGTATGAAGTACTGTTTAAGTTTTACAAAGATCTTATTGAGAGTTTTAGTTTATTAAAGAATAACTAATTTAATAAAAATATTTGTTGTTTCTGATTGGAAAAGAAACTTACCAATATGGAATTAAAATTAAGCAAAAAAAAAAAAAAAAATTCAAACACAGATTAATAAAATTTGGGTCAATCTAAAATTTTCTTTATTTAATCATTTAATTATTCACTTTTTACTTAATTTTAAATTTGCTATTTCAAATGAAATTAAATTGTATAGATTATTTTTACCGAATATTAAACTACAAAATAAATAAGCCTATTTGTTTGTAGTTTATTGAACAGCCGGTTGCTGCATATAAAACATTTTCTTTTTATTTGGTTGTAATTTATTTTGTGCGCTATATTATTGTAATAAAGTGCATATTTATTGTGGGTTTTGTGCAATTTTTAATTTGGGGACATTCATTGTATTTTATAGGTTTAATTGTTTCATTAATTTACAGCATTAGCATTTAGACATCACTTCAACTTATACCATAACATACAAATGGATTAGAGAGACACAGATTCAAATATTTTAATAAAATAAATTTTTATTTCCAATTAGCAGTTAATTTCTTTTTATGATATCACTATCCAATTGATTGCTATCCAATCATTATCGCTATCCATTATCCAGCCGACAAATTAATAATTGATAATATGTCAAATTAAATAATAGTATATCAAATTTACATTAATAGTATATCAAATTTAAATTAATAGTATATTAAATTTAAATTAATTATTAATAATATTAATAATGAAAGCGCATATGGAGTTTGAATAAAGACGCATTAGTAGTGTAAAAATCCAAATTTGCTGCACGTAGACATTGGAGGATAATTTTTCAAAAATACACTACTCGTCTCTCTGTTCACTGAAGCGAAAACGTATTGTTAGTGATCCTAGTATACCTCAAAACTGTATAATTTTACTCTGTGGATAACGAATCATTTCGATGTGGCTGATAATCTCTTAGCAGCATTTTATCACCTTCTCAAGAAACTCATTCTACATATAAGTTACCAAACTAAAGAACTGTCTTACTGTCCGAAATTAATATAAAAAGTGCAGCACAAGATATACAAAAATAAACCAGCAATGCTAACGGATTATATGCCTTCCTTAAGTAGAACAAGAGACTAATATAATAAATTAAGCACAAATTTATTAATAATTGAAGGGATAGTTTTGTAGTGATTATCTTATTTTCTTTAGTAATAGTAACTTCATATCGCGAAAAATATATAGTT